GTCGTGCGAGTATTGTCCTCGGCTTTCGTCTTATCTACTTTGGAAGTAAATAAATCGAACCGAAGTATCAAAGGAGTGGTGATCAGCCACAAATTTAATTTTTGTTTTTTGCTTTTTCGAATCGAATGTTTGGCCAGAACATCGATTCAGCAAGATGCATCGCATAAGGGAAGATTTCTCTACATGCCAAGCTTATTTTCCAAAATAAAAATTTATTAAATTTACAGCTGCATAGGGAGGTTGCCTACGTACCCAAGTCGCGATCAAGTAGTTCTTAGTTCTCTACAATTATTAGATGAGTGTTGTCACTCAGGAGCCAAGCCAGCATTTATTGATAAAATAAAAAAAGACTTAATATAAAAGCTGTGAGATTCTTGCCGAATCTACTCCGTTTGTTTGGCGTCTTCGAGGGCTTTTACCGCATAGAGTCGCACCTTGCGTTCACTGATGAAGCAAGATCTTGCCATCTGCTGATTGCCGCGAAGTGTGAAGATGCTGACCGAGGTAGCAAACTTCATGCATTGATGATAAGTTGACACGATGGCTTTCATCTCGTGGATCCAAGACGTGCCAAGTATGACATTATAGATTGCTAGTTTATCCATGACAGTGAATTTGACAATCTTTGTCACTCCACCGACGTAAACTGTCAGACGTATGGTGCTAAGGCTGAAGAAGGATTCGCTGGCAAAGCCAGTTAGTGGCTTTGGTGCTGCCTTGATGTCTTTATCCTGGAGTCCCATCTTGGTTAAAGTATCTTTGAAGATGATATTAACCGTGATGCTGGTGTCCACCAGTATTTTGGCCACTTCGCTATCATGGATATGTAGCTCGACAACCAGCGGGTCGTTATGCGGGGTGTGCAACCCATGCATATTTTTTAACGTGAACGTGATTGTCAGATGGTAGTCCATGGGGCGAGGAAACTTTTGCGAGGTAATCGCTTTTCGTCCATATTTTTTGATGGCATGAACCAAGTCATCGCAGTTGGGAAGGCCTCCCATGATCATGTTAACCCGCCGTTTTTGCGGAGGGGGTGGATTGTCATGCTCGTCGTCGTCGTTCTCGTGCTCCGATCCCTTTTATTTATCTTTTTCTTCTTTCTTTTTCTCGGGTGAACGACTTCAGCGTCGTTCACCTGAACTGCTTCGGTCGCTGCTTTTACCTTGATCTCGGCGATCCTTGTTGGAGGTACTTTGGCGTGAGTCCTTGGAGTTGGAGCTGCGTGAGTATGAACTTTTGTTCTGAGATCGATCTCCGCCGATGTTGATTTTGCCTTCCTTGTATTTTTTGCACAAGGAATTATGGAGGTGTCGGCAGGCCGAAGTAGCGTATCCCGTTCGCCCATGGAAAGAACAGTAGAGATCGTGGTTATCGTCCCTGTCATCTGAATTCCTTGAAGGATCGCCGCAGGTCCACTGATTCCAGGGCTTCTCTCTGGTGGTTACGATGACATAGGAGGACTGCTTGCCTTTGCCTGCCGGATCCTTGTCTCATGAAGTGTTTGCCACGTCCATGCCGTGCTTCTTAGCATAAAAGGTTTTCTCTTCTTCCATTCGTATAAAAGTTTGAGCTCGGTGGAGTACGTCTTCTATGGTGTCCTTCGGGTTTTTCTGCAAATCTTCTTTGAAAGAGGATTTGAACCATAGACCGTTCATGAGTGCCTTGATGGCCGAAGCTTGCAGGATCTGGCCGTACGCCGTGGCGGCATCCTTGAATTCTTGATGAAATCTTGGAGGGGTTGGTCGTGTTCCTGTATTAGAGTGAAGAGGTTGACCGTCCTCTTCGTGATGAACATAGAATAATGCTTTATAAAGGCGTGGGATAAATCCTTGAAGGATTTGATTGATGCCAGCGGGAGGTTGGAGAACCACTTGAGAGTGTCTTTGCTGAGGTGCTCCACGAAGGTCTGGCAGTGATTACCTTCGAGTTCGAGGTCGGTTTCGAACCGTTGCCTCTTCATGGCGGCGTTGAATTCGGTCAGCCATAGATTTGGGCCTTCTGTCCCGTTGTAGTATGGAAGCTTCAATTTGATTGCCGCGTCGAGGCGTACGTCGGTGATCCTGGAGGCGAACAGGTTGCGTTCAATATCTGATAGAATTGCCGAGATTTCGGGTGCCGAACTGGTAGCGCGATGGACTTGAGATCTGATCGCGTTGATCCGTTGATGCAACTTTGCAATCTCGGAGTTCAGTTTGTCGGTTGGCTCGTCGTTGGCTTGTGCTGTATTCTGAGTATTGTCGCGTTCTGGCGTTTTAAAAACCAGTCGACGTCCGAGCGGTGCGGATCTTGCTGTCGTTGCGGCTGCCAAAGTGATGAGCTGCTCGTCGTACTTCGCCTGTTGAGCCTGAAGAGTGTCCAGCTTGGACACCAGGTTTTATGTAAGCGGGAGTAAGGCGGCTTGGATCGCTGCGACGAGGTCGGTAGCGAGGACGGGGTCGGAGGCGCTCCCGCGGGTGGTGGCATCGTGACAGTAGGGTTGTCGTGCTCGTCGAGAGCAGGTGTATCGGTACGCGTGGTGGTGTCTTCCACGTTGAGAGTGAGGTTGTTGTTATCAGATGGAAGGCTCATCGCTTCGGATCTTTTGTTGCTAGTTGCAAAAATTTATTCTCCTAGTCCCCACATACGACACCAATTGTTGAACCAGAAATCACCACTAGAGATTTGATTAACAGTTGTGGGTTTCGGAGAACAAGTTTTTTTATTAATAGCGCAAAGATTAAGCGATTACAAGAGATGGCTTAACCGAAAGGTTATGCCGAAGTGAAAAGAAAGTGTTTGCAAAGTAAACTAGAAAGCGTTGGAGTTCTTGGTTTTAGCTTTTCTGCTCTCTAGGTTGTATGAGTTGTCCTTCTTGCGCTCTGAGGTCTTCTTATTTATAGGAATAGGAGGTCGGTTGCTCCGAACTCCTTTTCCTTTTCTCCTTTGGTGAATATTTCCATATTTGCGATATGGAAATATCTCTTGTTCTCCGAAAAATATGGAAATTCTCTTTTATCTTTGAATATTCCTTAAAGCCGATCTGACTTTTTGAGAGTTTCAAGATTATCTTCGAGGTTTTTTTTTCAGAACTACGTCGGCGTAGTCTTCCTAGTCTTGATGGGCTTATGTTATTGCTAGAGAAAGCTTTTTAGGAAATGTGCTCATTTTTCCTCTTAGAGCATCTCCAATCTACCTCTATTTTAGAGAAAAATAGAGTTTGGAGGAAAATTCTCTCCAATCCATCTTTATTTTTTCCTCTAAAATAGAGAATGCTATTTTTTCCTCTATATTGGAGGAACTTTATTTCTTCCTCTATAATAGAGATTAACTTTTATATTTGTAAATTAGTCCTTCAAATTTTAAATTTTTTTATTTTTATTTGCATAATAATATAGACATATAATTAATTATTTATATAACTTATTTTTATATATTTAGTGAACATTAATATGATTAAATAAATAATGTAAAATTTGAAAGCATATAATATAATTAAATATGAACTTTTTCATTTTAAATTTAGTTCTAAATAATTTTATAAATTAAAATATATTATGTTTTATATAATGTAATGTGATATTTTTTGTATAAAAATATTTAATTTTAATATTATTATAATTTTATGAAAGTTTTTGTAAAAAATAAAATAAATGAGGTTAATTTATGAACTTTAGAAACAAAAGGTGTTACTAATAAATTAGAAAAAAATATATTCTAATAACATTCTTTTTTAGAGGAAAAAATAGAGGAACACATTTGAGAGATATCAGCCTCTATTTTAAAAAAGAAATAGCAATGTACATTGGAGATGGTCTAACAAAAATAAGTTTGAAATATTATAATTACAAAATATACTTTTTGAAGTAATATTAATTAAGTATTTTTATAGTTTAAAATTGATATTAATTATATTTATAAGATTTTAAACAAAAAGATTTTAAACAAAAAGATTTTAAACAAAAAGATTTTAGGTAAATTTTCTTTTTACCACTAGTAATTATATACATCTAATAACTCCAAGTATTAATATTCAAAAAATCATAATTTTATCTAAACTAAAAAAATAAGAAATAAACGTAAGTATTATGCATATAATATTTTTAGTATTGTTAGTATTTATTATATTGAATTTATAACTTTTTTTTAATAGTAATGTATTTTGTTGTGTTTAATTATATAATATATTTGTATTGTTATTTTGTTGTGTAGTCGTTTTTACATCCGCTCGTCAACTAGTCAAAAATATACTGCAAATATACCGGCTCTTAATTACTATACCAATCGTACAAGTCGCTGGTTAATTCTATTAACCGCAACTATCCACTTCCGCAAACTCTCGCATACGCAACCGCTTCATTTAAACCACACGGCTCTTAAATAAATCCTATAATATCAAGTATATTCGTAAAAGTAGCATTTTCTATTAGTATTTTAAATCAAAATACTTAAAACAGTAAGATGATATGTTTATATATGTGAAATAATCAATGTTAGTTTTGTTTTTTTTATATGTATTGTCATATTGCTAACATTTTTTCATAGTAATATACATTTATTTTACTATACAAATATATATTGTAGTTATAATTAAGCTAATCATATGTTAGATATTTTAAAAAATTTAAGAATTAAATTAACTGGACTCAGCATTTTAAACTTAATAAAATATGTATATTTCTTTTAGACTATAGTTCTACCCATTTTCACTCAAAAATTATTTTTTTGTATATTTTCCTCTAAAACGTAATTTAACCAAGAAGTAATTTTATAAATTGATTGCAATATTAATTTTTAATTAAATTTTGAGGAAATAGATAGATAAAAATTTGTTTAAATAAAAATAGACAAAAAATCTATAGATTGAGACAAATTAAATATAGGAGCTGCAGTCAACTTTTTTTATTTTAAATCACACTTTCGTAATTAGTCAAAAAATTTTGGTTTTTCAAAAAGAAAAATATTAAAACAAATATCCTATGGCATACTAATACGTGTAACAATAATGAAGGTGTAGTTTTCGCCCAAACAAGTTGTAAGTTGTAACTTTTACACAGAGATTAAAGTACAAATTGGGAATTTGACTTCCCTAGGGCAAAAATCCAGATTCGGTGAAGACATTACTCCATTACCGAAGCTTTTACCCAACTAGAGAGACTCCCATGGCCGACGATTCTTCTTCTCCGGCCACGGGGGATCCCAATTCGCAGAAACCAGAGCCCACTACTCCGATTCCCAATCCCAACCCAATTCCAAATCCTTCACCAACCCCACCGCCTCCACAACAACATTCGCAGCCGCAACTCGTTACTCTCGACCCAACCAAGACGCCGCTCTTTCAACCCGGTCCGCCTTATGCGCCGCCTCAGATTCCGGGCTCCCTTGTACCCAATCTTCCGCCGCCGCCACCATTCCGTCCCGGTATGCAGTTCACTCCGCCTCCGAATTTTCAAAACCCTAACTCGGGAGTTCCTCCTCCCGGCGTGAACTCTGGTGGGGTTATGGCGGCTCCAGGATCCATGCCGTATCAATCCCAGCCTGGGCAGCTTCCGAATCCGGCCGGTATGAGACCTTTCACGCCCATGGCCAATGGTTATCCAGGAATTCACGGCGTCGCTCCTCCAGGCTCCATTCCTCCTCCGGGTGGGTTCTTCTATCTCTCTCTACCATTACCTGCTGTTTGCTTTTCAAAAGTTTTGCTCTTTCTGTTTTCTTACTCGCTTATGATGCACTTTAGGCTGTAGAATTGTGTTTTCCTTGGCGTTTGCTTTTCTGTGTATGTTGAATGTGATTCTTAAAAGTAGTGAATCTGAACATATATGTCAATGTAGTGAGATGAGATTAGGGTTGAGGGAGAATCAGAAAGAAGTTTTTTTTTAATTGAAAAGAGAAATCTAGGGAGAAAAACTAGAACAGGGACACCGATGACCGGGTGTTTTCTCATACAGCGTCTTGATTGAGTTCCGTGAGAAAAGTTGCGAGGCGTCAAATATTGGGTTAGGGACTCACTTCTACGACTCCCTTCATTTTGGTATGCGCAACATTCGCTTTTGTTCTTCTTTTCTCTCCTTCATATTGTTTGGTTAGTGTAGCTCTTCTGAAGATAAACACTCTTAACACAGTTTAACCAAAAACCACTGGCCTATAAAGGTTCTTGAAAGAATCCCCAATTTTATGTTAATTTAAGATTTACTGTAGTTTATTAAGAACTTTGAACTTGATGGGTTAGCCAACTGCCAGAAGCAAGCATATGTAGCCTCTGAGTTCTCCTTGGTCTTGGTTTTGAGGTATTGAAATTTCTTCCACATGTTGTTCTTTCTTTTTCCATCCTGTGGTCATTCTGCTAACTGTTGAGATGAAAGCTATTATGATGGGAATATTAGTTTTTATAAGTTTCATGTGGGCATGAGATGATGGGCGTTTCCATATTATCCAAAGATTTTCAGATGGTTTTAGATTCTTATCTCTTTCAAGTTTCTCTATGAGGTACGACTACCTAATGTGGTAATAATGACTACGATACTGGTGCTGTCTTCTTAACGTGTCCTTCAGGTTCTCTGTTCAGCCTGGTGGTATTTGTACTGCCTCCGGTGTCCATATCTAATTTGCTCTAGTTTGTGGTAACAATACAAAATGATTTATTTTTATAATTACGTTTCATGTCGCTCTTGATTTATGCGTATGCCGATTTTTGATTAAGATGTTAAACATCTACTGATGAATTTGGAGAGAATTGTTTTCTTTTGTTTATGCAGGTATCCTCCGGTATCCATCTCCCTATCCAACAATGGTTCGTCCTGGTTATATTATGCGCCCGCCTGGTACTTTGCAACTAGTTCAACGCCCTCCTGTCCCAGGAATGCCTGGTCCTCGTCCTGTAATGCCTCTTGTGCCTAGACCAGCTTCTCTTCCTTTCGTACCACCTGCAGAGAAACCACAGACCACAATTTACATTGGGAAGATAGCAACCGTGGAAAATGAATTTATGATGTCTGTTCTCGAGGTTTGTTATCTTCTTCGCATCTGCTTTTAAGGCTGTTTATGTTGACTTATAGGCACCAGCTTCTGTTTTGTTTTTACTAAGGATTGATCTTGCCATTGTTTTGCAGTTTTGTGGACATGTCAAGAACTGTTTACGTGCGGAAGATCCCACCACCAAGAAACCTAAAGGTTTTGGATTCTATGAATTCGAATCAGCTGAAGGGATTCTTCGCGCAATACGCCTGCTGACCAAACTAACAATAGATGGACAAGAGCTTTTGGTAATCGTGGATCTCTCTTCTTAAATTTTAAAATTGTTTTTGTTCCTTCAAGCAGTCATTTGTCAACCAAGATCTATCTAAGCTTCTATGTTATCTCTTAACGTTATTTTATATGGTCACTAGGTGAATGTTAATCAAGCAACAAAGGAGTATTTGCTAAAGTATGTTGAGAAGAAAATGGAGAATGCAAAGAAGGCCAAGGAAAGTCAAGCTGTAGGAACCGAAGATAACCAAGCTGAAGGTCCTGAAAAAACTGAGAATTCTGCTAGGCCCACCTTAGGGGAGACAGGGAAGGATGGGGAACCAAAGAGTAAAGAAAACATTGATATTGCGAATTCTGCTGTCTTCACTGATGAAGAAAGAGAAGCCGATAAAGAGGCTATGGAGAAGATTGAAAATGCTATTGAAGAAAGGTTAAAGACCAACCCTCTGCCTCCGCCACCCCCACCACCACCTGCTGATGGTTCAGGCATAGAATTTGCTTTCAAATCCAAGGATGGAGACTCCAACACTGACATCGCTCGGAGTGGTCTGTTTTTCTGCCTCCACTTGTCTTTTTTTAAAGAAAAATTGGCTGCCATTTTCCGTTTTACTTCATATCATTTGTCTCATAAGATGTCTCGTTCGTGTAGATTCCGCTGCTAATGATGTTGAGACTCCAGGAGAACACAATAGGCCTGACACAAGTTCACCTGATTGGAGTAAGAGAAATGACCGAAGAAGCAGAGACAGAGGTGAAAAGGACCAAGAAATGGATAGATACGAGAGGGAGGCTGAACGAGAACGAACAAGGAAAGAGAGAGAGCACAGGAGGAAACTTGAGGATGCAGAGCGTGCTTACCAGACTCGTCTTCGACAATGGGAACGCAAAGAAAGAGAAAAGGAGAAGGAACGACAGTACGAGAGGGAGAGGGAGAAAGAGAAAGAGCGTAAAAGGAAAAAGGAAATCCGCTACGAGGAAGAGGAGGATGAAGACGATGATGATTCAAGAAGAAGATGGCATAGAGGTTCGTCAGATGAGAGAAGAAGACGGCGGCTAAGAGAGAAGGAGGATGACTTAGCTGATAGATTGAAAGAAGAGGAAGAGGTTGCTGAGGCCAAGAGGATTGCCGAGGAGCAAAAATTGCAGCAACAACAATTAGATGCCTTGAGGCTCCTATCTGGACAAGCAGCTTTCGGAAGTCAACCGGTTCAGACATCATCACCCATTGAAAACGATCATAACGCAACTCTTCAAACTGTCGGTGAATCTATCCATGAGCAACATGCATCAGGTAAGGAGTTTGTTTGTCTTATTCCTCATTACCGTATTTCTCCTTCTTCTATGTTTCTCCTTCTTCTCTAATGGCTCCCTTTACCAATTGCAGATATTGAACAAAATGGTTCTGGTAATGAAATGTCCATGGCTATTGATAACAATAGCGGATCAGAGTCACACGCTCCCTCCAAGAAATTGGGATTTGGGCTTGTGGGATCCGGAAAACGGACATCTGTGCCTTCTGTTTTCCATGAGGAAGATGAAGACGAAGCACATAAGGATAAAAAGATGAAGCCTTTGGTTCCTATAGATTACTCAACGGAGGAACAGGAGGCTGTGGCCCATGCCGGCTCAGGGAATACACCACCTCATTTGGCTTTAGCCGCTGAATTTGCAAAACGACTTTCGAGTACTAATCCCAGAGAAGAGACAACAGAAACCGAAAAACATAGGAGCAGACGTTCTCATGATAGGCCAACCCACAGGGACAGAGACAGGGAAAGGGACAGGGACAGGGACAGGGAAAGAGACAGAGACCGTGTCAGGGACCGAAGTGACGGGCATAGTGGTCCAACCAAAGACGCTAAAGAGCCTGGTAAAGCAAAGACACCTGATACCAAGAAGCTTATGGATGCAAAACAATTGATAGATACAATCCCAAAGACAAAGGAAGAGTTGTTTTCTTACGAGATAAACTGGACTATGTATGACAAGGTAAGCTTCTCTCAAAACTCCCATATCTCATTCCACGTTTTTCTAGATTGATGAAACCTTTAGATAATTTCTTGTTGCCTTGCCTGTGAGATTCTTTTGATGCTCACATGTTTCTTGGTTTTTAAATTTGAAAAGCACCAATTGCACGATAGAATGAGGCCATGGATCTCAAAGAAAATCATGGAGTTTCTTGGAGAAGAGGAAGCCACGCTGGTAGATTTCATCGTGTCAAACACTCAACAGCACGTGAAAGCGTCTCAGATGCTTGAGCTACTGCAATCGATACTAGACGAAGAAGCTGAGATGTTTGTACTGAAGATGTGGAGAATGCTCATCTTTGAGATCAAGCGGGTCGAAGCTGGAGTCCCGGTAAAACCCAAAGCCTGAAACTTTCTCAAAATGAATTTTCTTTCTTGTTGCTTAGTATCTCAAATTTTTTTGAAGTCTTATTGTCTTTTGAATTTAAAAAAGAATTACCATGTTTACAAGCTTAATGCCAAAGAAGAGATTGAGAAAAATATATATACACATTCTAGTTTACAATATAAATACTTGCAACAGTCGAGAGTTTAAAGCTTCTCTTTAGGAATTGAGTTTTCTATGATGTTGCTCTCTTTCCAATGTTATTCACCAAGTACGTAGAACGAAATTATTAAGATATATGTAGGAAAAGTGTTTGTCTTAGTGTATTTACTTTTACAATGTACAATGGTTCCTTTTACTGAATATATACTGTCTGTTCTTCATTTATTTCCAGAAAATCAACTATCATTACAATACATATTAATATGCACACAGCTCCTCTTTGAAAACCAGAAACTGATCAATAGTATATAAGCTCTTTGGGTTATTAAAAAATCCCAGAGCTAATATGTAAGTAAAAAAGTGTATACATACAAATGAATATATTCATCTTTAGCCTATAAAAGATTGAAGTTAATTTTGGTAGATAACTCTTTGAGAAGAAAAAATAAGTCTCAAAGAGTTGCTGTGTAGTGTGTGTACCAAATAAATCACCAGGCGTGGATAAACCGTTCTCTTTCAAAAGCCGGTTCGGCCGTACCGGTTTTCCTCTCCTGGAACTCATGAATCATTTTGATAAGAGCACTTGCCTTTCTCCCAACTCCACCACACTCGCCGTTACTTAACACCGTGTAAAGCGACCCCATAATCGACGGATCCTTAACGAGTGCCCCAACGACGTCATTTCCGCCGTTAACACACAGATTCAGAAGCAGAACAACACAGTGCTGCTTCGTCGCCGGCGAACTATCCGACGAACCCAGAATCTTCACCGCGAGTTTCAATCCTCCACGACGGAGCACAGAAATCATACCGTCGGGATACTCCGCCATTTTCGCGAGAATCGCCATCGAGTCCGCCCTGACTCCGTCGCCGGATTTCACGAGTTCGAGAAGAACAGGTGTCGCTCCAGCGGCGAGGACACGCCAGTGATTATCGGGATGTTGAATCAACAAACTCCTAATCGCGATTAACGCGTTCCGTTTCGCCGAATCTCCGTAATCGCAACCTTTAACGACTCTCAACAATCCCGAAATCGCGTCCGGGATTTCTCCGATCAATCTGCTGTTATCTCCGAGAGACGATAGATAGAACAGAGAAGCTGCTGCATATTGTCTACTCTCTCTTCTAATTCCTTCGTTGAGAACCTCCACGATGATCTCCAATCCACCACCGTCTCCGGCGATTCGTGTTTTCCCGGAGGTATCCTTCGATAGATTCAAAATCCCAGCCATGGCGTTCTCTTGAATCGTCTGATCTCCCGAACGAAGCATCTTCATCAGCGATTCCACAACACCAGCTTCCACCAAGCAAGACCTATTAAAACTACTCGTCTTGGTGAGAACTCGAATCTCCACTAACGCTTTAACCATCTCTTTTTCACCACCATTGATTAATTCCCCGGCGAGAAATTCCGCCATGAGCTTCCCGGCTTCTTCCGCCGCTAAACTCTCAGGAACAGTCGATTTCTTCTTCGTCTTCTTCTTCTGATCAATCTCTACGCCGTTTTGCTTGCAGTAACTCTGAATCACTTGCTTGACGGATACGTTATCAACTAAAACAGTACTCGCAAGAATCTTCCCGGTCTTAGGGCACGTGATGTTGCCGGAGGAAAACCATTTCTTGATAGAGCTCCGATCATACGTGTGTCCTGTTTCTAAAACCACTGGATCATTCATAATCTCTAGAGAAATCGGGCAACGAAGATCATCAACGTTTAAACCACGATTAAACAAATCCTCTTCTTCTTTTTCATCTTCATCATCATCAATGCCTCGAAGTATCACGCATCTGGAGTAGCATATGAATCCCATTAAGCTGCTAAGAAGCTCGATTTCTTTCTTATCCTTCTTCTCGGCGTTGATCTCTTCTCCTAGAAAATCAATCTCCTTGACGCAATCTCTCCATTTTCGAACACCAATATGATCAAGAACTTGGAGTATTTCATCTCGGTTCGGGTTAATCCGGTTCTCGAACAGATTCAAGACCCAATAAACCGAGTCTATAGCCCGTTTGTCACCCGGGTCGGGTCTTGCTTCGGATTTACGGGTCTGACGGATTAACAGATAGAATAGCTCGTTGATTTCTCCAGGTAAGTCAACGGACCCGACTGGGAAAGCGTCGAGGCAAGTGGATACGGATCGGATCAAGACCCGGAAATGAGCTGAGACTTGGTCGGAGTTTATCAACGTATATAGCTTAGCTCCTTCTCGTGTACAGTCTTGTAGAAGCAACTTGAGTTTCTGGAAGATGACGTGGAGCTCTGATAGGCTTAGGATTGCCGAGCGAGTGAAGGAACGACTCGCCGATATTGACCCGACCCGGATTTGAATCCGGATTTCGTCGAGGATGATCACGAGGTTTTGGATATGTCGGAGAGTTTCTTTGACGCTTCGCTTGTTCGTGGAGAAATGTTTTGGTTTGAAGCTGAGAATCTCACCGGCGATTTGTAACAGTGAGTCGACGAGAGTTGTGATGGAAATCGATTCGCACGGGTTAACCGCCGGAAAAGTTAGAATCCGACGATCCGACCCGGTTTGTGTATGGATCATAGTGTGATAAGATAGAGGGAGGAAGATATTTTCAAGTGTTTTGAGGTTTGTCTAATGTTTGTGTTGTGGGGATAATATACACTTCGTGTGGGTTTTCACTTTTCAACTTTCTACAGATTTGCGACACGTGAAGAGGTATGATTCGTTGCTAAATTTTGGGGTCTGTAAATACGCCACGTGGTATACCGTGGTAATGAAGCGTGTGTAGGACCTACTCATGAAGGTGAAGTGCTTGGAGGTAGCCGACAATTTTGTATGACGCTTCTGATATTTTTCCTTGGTCAATTATTTATTCGTTTTTTCTCTTTTTTATTTTTTTTAATCTGATATTAGATAACCACGAGTTTCGATTGATTGATTGATCCAATGATGTGAATTCTGATTTATTAATTTTGGAGGAGGCTTCGAGGATGTAATTGGATGAATTATTCAGGTTTTTATTTATTTGTAAGCAATTTATAATTATTGTTGAAGCAATTTATTTATTTGTAAGCAACTTTTTTATTTTATTTTGGACAAACATCTTGAAGGATTATGGAAGAAGTCTTTTGATACATATTTTCATTGATCGTTTGTGAAACATTTGTAAAATTAAATTTGTGACTTATTTTATCATATTCTCTAGACAGACGTAAATGAAATGCATTTATCATTTTTTATAATACTGGAGTGGAAAGTGAGACTAGTAGTGATATGTTCGGATGTTCCTTTGTGATAAATTGCATAATAAGTTTGAGACACTGCGTTGAAGAATGATATTTTGACTTTTCAGGTCTCAATTAATTGATTTAGGATTCGAGACTGCTACAGAGTTGTCATTTTTAAATTTTTTTATTTTATGTCAGATAGAGTTTTCAAGAAACACTGGACGGTGCGATTTTCTAATAGAAAATTCTAGAGGACCCATCCTGATATTTTTATTAACGTTGGGAACTTTCATTTTCATCCAAACTATATATTAATAAAATAGAATTGAACACCCCCAAAATAATCAAACTAAAACCGAAAACGTACCAATCGATTCTAAATTTGACACTATTCCAAAACCGTAAAATACTACAAACCAAACCAAGATCGAACAACATTATATTGAGAATCTTAAACTTTCATTTAAAGTGTCAAGGACCAAGGTTGTTGATATTCGGGTGTTGCCATAAAAGTGATTCGACAGAGAAACACCTTAAAGCACAAAAGAGAAATAGAAAGCAGTGAAAAACACCACTTTCTATATTTACACCATCATCTTTCAAACATAAGAAACGTTACATCTCTCTGGCAAGTTTATATCTTCTTCAGCTTAGAGAAGGTTCCTGACTCCGAGAAGTAAGTGCTCTGAGTCCCACTGCCTAGTCCCAAGGCCTGAGGATTACACAGCTCTATTCCCTGCAAAAATAGAAATACCAATTAGAGTTTTCGAAAGTCAGAAACCATCGTAAATGAGAAACTTTTCACAAGAATCGAATGAAATTGTATTGTACCTGCACAGGAGTGAAAGCCAGACTCGAAGTCAAACCAGATGTAGTAGCACCACCTGTGTACTGTCTTTCTTTGAGCCTGAAAAAGCCATTAATGAACATAATCACAATGAGGACGACATAGGAGATACGATGGAAGAGCAGGACACGATCATTTTAAAGATTAAAAGTCCATAGAAAAACAGGAGAAACAGAGGAATACTTACTTTTTGGCGACCTTAGCATTGAGTTTCAGCTTGCTCGGAACACTGGATACACGAAGCCTGTTGCTCCCAGCTTGGCCAAGCATCCCGTATCCTTCACCTAGCCCATCACCTATCATCGCGAAGAGCAAGTATTAGATTCAATGCCTTAACAAAAACTGGCTATTAACGAGTGCGAGGTACAAGATGTGTTTATTACCAAGAGAGCTCTCTTCAGGTGTACCAAAAGCCATCCTGTTGGCAAGCTTCCTCATGTCTGTCACTGCATACCTGAGATTCAAAAGAGAAAGGTAAGAATGCATCTACTAATCATGAAGGCCACAAAGCAGGACGAAAAAAGTTTTTACCTTTCTTTCATTTTTCTCAGACGGCGACCACCTCTTCTCTTTTTAGGCTCGGAATCAGGAACAGGAAGTGGCTTAGGCTGCCTTGCAGGAGGAGGTTCTTGCCACTTCTCAATCTTCTTACGGATTGCCTCCCTCAAGGCTTTTCCATTTGTTCCCGACGGGTCTCCTCTAGTAGCATCAACCCTTGCTGCCAAAGTAGATTTCGCAGCCAAGAGCCTGCCAACACGCATCCGAAGACTAGGAGGCGTGCTCTGGAAAATCTCAGTCTGATCCAGATAACCCACACGTGACACTGACGTTGCACTAGAGAACCCAGCAAGGTTCTTCCTCTTGTGCCCAAGAACTTGAACATTACATGCAGGCATTTTAGCAAGCGCTGACAAACCTCCAGCAGTTCCCATCAGCTTGGCTGCAACAGCGCTCCCGACAATAGCGGACAGGTTCGGTGCGATAGATCCCATCTTGCTTTCAACGAAGTCGAGAACCTTCTTCCGTGAAGAGTCAAGATCCAGAGCTCGATCACAAGCCTCTAGCGTCTTCTGAAGGACATCCTCTGGAAGTGGGTTCCCTTTAGTGGTCAAAGCAGTCACTGAAACAACCATGATAATAGCAGAAGGAAGAAGGCCTTCCAGATCAACAAGTGTTAGATCCGTCTCATTGCCAATTTTTTTCACAACACGGGCATAGTCGATTGGGTGATGTACCAGCGATTCAAGCTCTTGAAACTTAAGCCTGTACTTGTCTTTAATGAAGTTGTGTACGATGACAATCTCATTCTCAATGTCGACCGAGAGCTGATTGCAATCCACGATTAGCTTGTACTCAGGATCATCTTCTAGTACAGTTCCTTTCTCCGCTCCATCAGCATCCTTTCCAAGAGCCTCTTCCACTTTCTGAAACGCAAAAGGAAAAAAAAATAAAAATACAATCAGATCAGAATCCTCACCTACGACCATCAAAGAATACAAGTAACTGTAGTATCTAAGTCATAAAGAACTCAACAGTTAAAGCTTTGAAACCATGCTAATGTCTGTTGAGCAGTACGAAATGAGGCTGTGATAGAATAACTATACGAATAACCTAGAAAGTGACAACAAGTAAGCTTTTTTCAGTAGAATAATTTTGATTATAAACGACAATGTACAAAAGAAAGGGGCACATTGACTAACCTTCATTATATCAATGTATCTCTGAGATTTCTGTAGCTTAGAAACGCTATCGAGATCATCGTAATTAAGGGTCTCTAAGTCGGCCATGTCCATGTCAATATCTTCTTCCTCCATTCCACCATTACCATCATTCTCATCCTGAAAAATTTGAAAACAACAATTAAACCATAGCTCTTGACCAAACTAGTATCAAAACATATAGTAATCAATTTTGTTAGAAACACTCACCAATTCTGCTTCATTGTCAGATAACTCATCAAGGTCAGCGAGGAAAGAGTCTTCAAGAGTTGCCTGCAAAAGATACATAATGTTTACTTAGTAGAGAGCACTACGAATGTTTCAGAAACAAACACATACGCACATAAGAGACGAGAACATTAAAAAGGGTTTGCAAGCAAAAAGAAAAAAAAAAAATCACGGAAACCCTAAAACTGAAATTGAACATTCGAGAAGGTAAATCAAATCAAATCAACAAAACAATATATCTGCCGATTATATTGAAAATGACAGCCACTGGTGAATCAAATCTCCAAACGAAGATTCGAAATTTAGTGAAATTTTTGCGAATAATCAACAGAGAAGTAACTGTTGAAGAACATAGCGACGACAGCACAATAAAGAAAGCGAGAGCATACGATCCGTGAATAAAAAAGCAGAAGAACAAAGAAGAGAGGAGGGTTAATGAAACGCTTACCATATCTTCTACTTCGAACGAAGAATCTCAGTGATTTCTCCTGCGGATTAAACGAAAACGAAAAATCCTGATTTCAGAAACCCTAATTTTCCAGAAAGCTCGAAATAGAGATTTAATCAAAAGGGGAGAAAATCAAAACGAACCTGAATCGGAGGTGAAACCAAGATTCGAGAAGAAATTAAAGAAGGAGACGCGACTGGTTTTTTCCTTTGGGAGCGAGCGATGATGGAATGTTCGAAACGAAATCTTGTGCTCTCATTTGGGTTATTAGAGTTGTGTTTCAAAGTCGGTAATCGTTGTTGGGCCTATTTAAATGGGCCTTTTATCACTATTGCGTTAATTTAGATGGCCCATTTTGTCTAATTGCACATTAATCAAAAACAGAGTATTAAAAAAATTGGTTGTGATATCTGTTAAAAACAGAGCAAATCACAAATATTAAAATTTTAAGAGTCGGACCATCTCCAATATGTTCCTCTATTTTTTCCTCTAAAATAGAGGAACTCTAAAATAAAGGTACACTTCTCTCCAATGTGTTCCTCTATTTTTTCCTCTAAAAATAAATATTTTAAGAATATTCTCTTTATAATTTATTATTAACACATTCTTTTCATAAAATTCACAAATTAACCCCATTTATATTATTATTTACAAAAATTTCCATAAATAATAAAAATATATTAAAATTAAACATTTATTTCATAAAACAAAATTCAAAATGACTATAGTATTTGTAATTTTCCATAATTTTCAAAACATTTATTAAATCACAATAGTATTTATTATTTTCTATAATTTTCTGTATTTTAAAAAAAAATATTGTAATTTATCATTTTATTTATATTTTAATTTGAAATAAATGAGAATTTTCTAATTTAGTTATATTATATGTTCACAAAATTTTTTCAAACCATAACAAAAATTATTAAATTTATTTATCTGTATTTAATAACATACAAAACTGTATAATATAACTTTATTGACGTATTATTGTACATGTGTATACTATATTGCTATTCATGTTCATTTTTTTTATCGTGGATTAACCACTTTCATTTATAAATTATATAGTTAATTAAAGTAAATAATGTTTTCTGTTTTTCTATAATAGTTAATTTTATTAAACTTTATTAAAGTTATTTAATATTTTATAATTTAATTAAATTCATATGTTAGATATATGGTTATTTATTGGATATATACAAACTAGATTATGCAAATATTTAATTTAACTTTTTTTTGTTATATAAATAATAATAAAAAGATGTAAAAGTTAAGGGACCAGTTTATAAATAAAAAAGTGCATCTTTATTATAAAGGAACAAATAGAGTTCCTCCAAATATAGAGGGAAAAATAGCAATCTCTATTTTAGAGGTAAAAATAAAGGTGGATTGGAGAGAATTTTCCTCTAAACTCTATTTTTTCCTCTAAAATAGAGGTAGATTGGAGATGCTCTTAGAGTTGTATTTCAAAGTCGGTAATCGTTGTTGAGCCTATTTAAATGGGTCTTTTATCACTATTGCGTTAATTTAGATGGCCCATTTTGTCTAATTGCACATTAATCAAAAACAGAGTACTAAAAAAATTGGTTGTGATATCCGTTAAAAACAGAGCAAATCACAAATATTAAAATTTTAAGAGCCGGATATCCGATCCGCTCCGATATACATATATATATATGTGTATATATATATATAACTACATATAGAATGTATAGTTAATATAATTAAATGTAAATTTTTGTGAATTTTTATATTTATTTTATTACTTATTTTAATATAAAAATCTGATAAATTAAAAAAAAACAATTTTAAATTTAATATACGAGTTAATTTTTGACTTTTTAATTATTTTTATAAATATTTTTAATTATTTTATAATTAATTTAATATTTTTAAAACAGATCGGATATTCGATCATAAATCCGGATTTTAACGGATATCCGAATACCGGATATCCGATTAGTAACGAAGCAAATACGAATAAAAAAATTATTAATCCGAACGGAATGGAGTGGATCACGGATATCATTAAAATTCTGGATATATGCTCCGTGCCCAGATCTAGTGGAACGTGAAGACTGTGGTAAATAGACAAACAGGGGATAACGTTTTGAGGATACAGAATCGAGGACAAAAATATTTTTTTTTCTCTTTCACTGTTAAGAGTTCACTTTACAGTATTACCTAATAACAGAAATTGCAACTAAATCACACCTTTTTGTCAGTTTCTTTGCAGTAATTCTGAACATGTTGTTACCCGTGAGAGATGTTGTCAGTGAAGTCACATTCAAGCCATAAAAATCATTAGAAGAAGAACCAAACTCTGCTAATATTTTCCTCCAACCAAAACCAAATCTTGTTGTTCCTCTGCTTCTTGTTTTGTCAATGGATGAAGAAGACAGGATTGAAGAAGGAAGCAGTAACAACAGCTTACGACGTGTTGGTACCGGAAGCAGCGACCGGAGATGGGTCGACGGAAGCGAGGTGGACTCCGAAACGCTGCCGTTTTCGGAGTCCAGAGATGGAGACTATAGTTTTGGGAATCTGAGGAGGAGACTAATGAAAAAGCCCAAAAGAGCTGATTCTCTCGATGTTGAAGCCATGGAGATTGCAGGTGCTCATGGCCATGATCTCAAGGTTAAAAAATTTAGATTCACCCATGAGTAAAGTTTCTGTTTTTATTTAGTGCCTGTATGTTGTTTGTGTTATTGACAAGATCAGCTTTTGTTTGTATTTGAAAAAAAATGGATTTTTTTTTTTTTTCAGGATCTCTCTCTTATGGGTACAATTGGGATAGCGTTTCAGACGTTAGGTGTTGTGTATGGTGACATGGGGACAAGCCCTTTGTATGTTTTCGGTGATGTCTTCAGTAAAGTTCCAATAAGATCAGAAGTTGATGTTCTTGGTGCCTTGTCTCTCGTCATCTACACTATCGCTGTGATTCCTTTAGCAAAGTATGTCTTTGTAGTCCTTAAAGCCAACGACAATGGCGAAGGTAAGCGTGTATAATGTAACCAAACCGATGGTTAAGTTGTGTATACTGTATAGTGGTTCTCACTATGTGTGTGTGTGTGTTGTGCAGGAGGAACATTTGCTCTGTATTCGCTGATTTGTAGGTATGCAAAGGTGAATAAGCTGCCAAATCAACAACCTGCAGATGAGCAGATCTCGAGTTTTAGGCTTAAACTCCCAACTCCTGAGCTGGAACGAGCTCTGGGTATTAAAGAAGCTTTGGAGACAAAAGGGTATTTGAAAACTCTTCTTCTACTTTTAGTCCTAATGGGAACTTCAATGATTATTGGCGATGGGATCCTGACACCAGCTATGTCAGGTGAGTCTGAAATTGTATTGTCTTTTGTTGCAAATAGAGTTTCCACAAAAGATTTTGGATACATACAGTGTAACTTTGGCTGCATCTGAAATTTTATAAACGAAGAAGCGGTTTGATCTGGCCTTTTTTTAATTGCTATGCAGTGATGTCTGCAATGAGTGGTTTACAAGGTCAAGTTGAAGGATTTGGAACAAGTGGGTGTCTCTATCACATGATTTCTCTCTATATGTGTTAAGCAATTTCGTCTTGATGTCATTTTGATATTCAATCTTGTTGTGTGTTGTGATCAGATGCATTGGTATCGTCTTCGATTGCGATTCTTGTGGTTTTGTTCAGCATACAACGGTTTGGAACGGGTAAAGTTGGTTTCCTCTTTGCTCCGGTTCTGGCGCTCTGGTTCTTCTCTCTCGGTTCTATCGGAATCTATAACCTGGTGAAGTACGACATCACAGTCATAAGAGCACTAAACCCTTATTACATCGTTCTGTTCTTTAACAAGAATAGCAAACACGCTTGGTCTGCTCTTGGTGGATGTGTCTTATGCATTACAGGTAAACACACATCTCATCTTAAGAAAGGTTTTGTCTTTTAAACCTTTCTTACACAGTGTTTGAAACTATGCAGGAGCCGAAGCAATGTTTGCAGATTTAGGACATTTCTCTGTTCGTTCTATACAGGTTAGGCATCACCTTATATTGATCATTGATTATGTTAATGATGATGATGACCATGATAATGATATTTGAATCAGATGGCATTCACTTGCGTGGTGTTCCCCTGCCTACTCTTAGCTTATATGGGTCAAGCTGCTTATCTAACACAGCATCCCAATGCCTCTGCTCGTATATTCTATGATTCAGTTCCAGGTTAACCCATCAATATATATCCCCAAAGATCTCAGCTTCAAGTTTAGTAAGTGTCCAAAATGCTGAAATTTGTGAATTTTGAACAGAGAGTTTGTTCTGGCCGGTGTTTGTGATCGCGACATTAGCAGCAATGATAGCGAGCCAAGCTATGATCTCTGCGACATTCTCATGCGTCAAACAAGCCATGGCTCTAGGTTGCTTCCCGAGGCTGAAGATTATCCACACTTCTAAGAAACGGATGGGTCAAATCTACATCCCTGTGATCAATTGGTTCTTAATGATCATGTGCATACTCGTTGTCTCAATCTTCAGAAGCACAACCCACATCGCCAATGCTTATGGTTGGTTTTTCGGTTTGACTCAGTTATAAAAAAAAAAGCTTTCTGCTTTTGATGTTTTTAATGCATTTCTTGTGTTTTTCTTGATTCAGGCATAGCAGAGGTAGGTGTGATGATGGTGAGCACAGTGTTGGTAACACTAGTGATGCTTCTCATTTGGCAAACCAATCTGTTTCTCGCTCTTTGTTTCCCGCTTGTGTTCGGATCAGTCGAGACCATTTACTTGCTTGCGGTTCTCACAAAGATCTTAGAAGGAGGATGGGTTCCTCTTGTATTCGCCGCTTTCTTCCTCACCGTAATGTACATTTGGAACTACGGAAGTGTCCTCAAGTACCAAAGCGAGGTCAGAGAAAGAATCTCCATGGAATTTATGCGTGAGCTTGGTTCAACTCTTGGAACAATTCGACTCCCTGGGATTGGACTACTCTACAACGAGCTTGTTCAAGGCATACCTTCCATTTTCGGACAGTTCTTGCTCACTCTTCCAGCGATTCACTCGACTATCATCTTTGTCTGCATCAAATATGTTCCTGTTCCTGTTGTTCCTCAAGAAGAGAGGTTCCTCTTTAGACGAGTTTGTCCTAAGGACTATCATATGTTCAGGTGCATAGCGAGGTACGGTTACAAAGATGTTAGAAAAGAAGACTCTAGAGTCTTTGAACAGCTTCTTATTGAGAGTCTAGAGAAGTTCTTGAGATGTGAAGCGTTGGAGGATGCTTTAGAGAGCACTATGAACGATTTTGATCCTGATATGGTTTCCATTGCAAGTGATACGTACACAGACGACATCACGGTCCCTCTCATTCACCGTGGAAAGCGGTCTGAGCCAGAGCAAGAGTTTGATTCGGATGTCTTGCCGTCTTCAAGCGTAGGATCGTCTATGGAGGAAGATCCAGCTCTTGAATATGAGCTTGCGGCTTTGAGAGAAGCCACTGACTCGGGCTTAACGTATTTGCTGGCTCATGGAGATGTAAGGGCGAAGAAGAATTCGATTTTTGTGAAGAAGCTTGTGATTAATTACTTCTACGCGTTTCTGAGGAGGAATTGCAGAGCTGGAGCTGCGAATCTGACTGTTCCTCATATGAACATCTTGCAAGCTGGGATGACTTATATGGTATAATGTTTGATTCTTTAGTTATATACTCTCTTTGGATCAGTTCTACTTAGGATCTCTCCATGGATTAGGGTTTGATTCTTGCGGTTGACGTTTGTGTGTCGTCACTGTGAGGAAGAAGGAAATGTGGAAAATTTCCTAATATATTCATATATTGTAATAGTTAGGGAAATAAGATTCTATCATCTACTTATATAGTATACTTGTTTGTAGTATACTACTAATACAAAAAGAAGAAGAAGTAGTTAAGTTATTTTGCTATGTTCTTCGAAATTGGCAAGTAAATTTTATTAGATGTGGCATATTTCATCACTATAGTCTATAAAATCCGCATGATTATACAATCCTAATAATTGGATAATTTGAGTTTTGACTCAAGAAATTTATTAAAACAAAAAGCATATAGATCAAATAGGTAAGTGGAATTTAAGTGAGTCTTTGATTGGATGTTAAACTAGAATCTTAGAATCTTAAATGTAAAAACTCAAATTCGACTTATAGAAGAACTAGGGTTTGAGGGTTTAAAAGAGAGATCTTTTATTAGAAGAAGTCGGAGCTTGGTAAAATACAACGGTGTTTAGGTCGTCGGAATAAGAACGCCGACCTAAAACTCTTTAGGTAAGTTTAACCAAAAGCTAGAACAATCTGATCGCTTAGTTTGCTCTAGGTCTTGATAGATGATTTTAGGATGCCTTTGAGGAGTCGAGGACTTCCTATATTTATAGCTGACTAGGTTAGTTTTCAACGTGCTAAAAATAGGAAAGTCTTCTTGCCGACAAGAAAGAGTTTCCTTTTTTTCCGGGTCGCTCGTTAAATGGAAGATTTCCATTTATATCGCCGACCTGAAACTTGTTAGACGGGCCGACCAGAATTCATATCGGGCTTGTTGGAGATGGTACTCATCTCATCTCTAATCCCCCCCCCCCCCAGTTCGGCAAGTGAGGGAACATTACTTGGTGAATTTCATGAGGTGTTAGCTTGGTATGTATTATGGTCGGCTAAAAAAAGAGTTAGAATAAAAATGGAACTATTACCTGGAATTTCTAGTTGGCACGATGATGAGGGCTAGATTGTGTGTGGGCGCGAAAAATTCTCGGCCACAGATGATATAGGGTAGGTCCAGGCCCGCGCATGCAGAACTAGGGTTGACAAGTGTCAATCCCTAGCAGGTGAAGGCGAAGAGGCCGATTAAAATAAGTAAGAAGAAATATGAAAGGTCGCCGAGCTCATGATGATTCTCGATAACTGTTCAGACTTTTCTATAAATAAGAGGAACTCGGCTACTATTTCTTCACTTGTGCATTTCTAGCAAAACTCTGTCAAAATCAGGTTTGCTCTCTTCTCTCTCTTCTTTGTTCTTCATTTATTTTAGCTAGAAATTTTCCGATCAGACCTCCGCCGTGTTTTGTTCGTTCTCCGCCGTTTGATTTCTCCGATTTACGAAAACCATCGTCTGAAGTGATGAGCAAGTGTTTGAGTATCAAAGAGGGACGATCAGAGCCAAAGGAAGTAAGGTCGGCTAAAGGGAAAGCTGATGAGATCGGCGTCTCTCTGGAGAAATTTCTTCAAATGGAGAAAGACGACCAGGCCGCGAGAGGCCGATCAAAGGGAAAAGAGATCGCGAACGATATAGCGTCAGATCGGTCCTCTGATGCTAGCGAATTATCCGCATTAGATCGGGCTTTCCAGGAGCGAGTCAGAGAGGAAAATCAGAGGGCAGCAGCCGAACATTTCCATGCGGGTCAGGTCAGTGCTGTTTTGAGGAGCGGTGAGGCGTTGACGAGGGAACCGTTTCTGATACCCGAACTGCGAGATGAGTTAGACGAGAGGGGTGGATCGAACGAGATGGACATCTCCGACGAACTGAATACACTCATTGCTGAAGATGAAGCGAATCAATTTGAATCCCCCTGTTAAAAAGGTCAAAAGGAAGAAGGGCGAGCCAGCTCCGAAGCCGATTTGTGATAACCTCCTCGGAGTAATACCAACAAAATCGACTATGGAGTCTTTGGTGACACTGAAGGAAGAATGTGACATCGGCCCTGAAGTCATCTTCATGATACCGAGCCCGTTAGAACGGCCATGGGATGCTCCGGAGGGATGGTTATGCGTCTACGAATGTTTTTTTAGGGATTTCCATCTCTGGTTCCCTCTTCCAAGACTGTTGTTGGAATTTGCCGATCACAAGGAGATGCCGATCTCGCAATTTTCTCACTCGACAATCCGTCTGATCGTCAGTATGCTGGGGATGTCGACCAGGCATAATATTCCTCTTAGCCGAGCTGCGTTTGACGCGATGACGAATACGAGGAGGACAAAGGAAAAATTGAGGAACTGAAGATCATACTATACGAGCATGAAGACCTGGTTCAACATAGTCACGGGTGGCCAGAAATCGAAGGTCAACGATTGGAGGGACCGTTATTTCTTCGTGCTGATAAACGAGCATTCCATCATCGATTGAGACATCGAGATTCGAACGAAATGGGCGGAGGTCATGGGTAGAGACACGTCCGACCTAAAGTATTGTTTAAGATCATGTTGTGAACTTATCTGATCGGTATCTTTAATTTTGCAGGTAATAGGCATCTTCCCTTTGTTGACGATCCCCTCGATATTTACGAGATTTGCGAACAGTTTGCGGCGATCAGCGCAATCACCTGGCCGGAGATTACGGAAGAGAGGATCGAGAGGACGAGAGGTTGGTACAAATTGTTTCACTTATGTTTATGAGTTTCTAAGGATTAGGTCGGCTGACACCTCTTTAATTGCAGTTGCTCTTCTTAGACACCAGAACCGAACTGACAAGATGAAATCTCACCCACTCAAAGATTTATCTGCCGACCTAGAGTTGATGTTTGAATCCCCGGGTGCTAAAGAGGCCCAAAATCCTGCGTCGGCCGGGTCTCTGGAAGAGCACGGAAATCCGGTCGTATCAGAGGATGATCCGGCCAAGGCCAAAGCGGCTGCCGACAAAAGGGAGAGAGATTTGGCCAAGGCAAAGAAGTCGGCCGATAAAAGAGCTGCCAGGAAGGCAGAGAAGGCCCGGAAGAAGGCTGATCTAGAAGAGCCCGCAGGTGAAGATTGGCAGAATATGGGTGACATACCCGAGGATTTGCAACGGTCGAAGAGACCTCGGACCGATCGGCAGCTTCATCGGTTTGGGTTTTCCTACGACTATCGAGGAAATAGCCCATTGGTGAACGATCCCGAATCCTGTCTTGATTATTTTCTCCGGTTGAGGGACCATCCGGACCTTCCTGCGACGGACCCTCGGAGCTTCGTTCGCAGCAAAGCGATCGCGCGCTTTGCTAAAGACCAGGCTAGGGTAAATTTCTACGACTGCTCTCTTCTGTTTCCCAAGCATTATTTTGGTTCTAATAGTGAGATTTATGAATGCAGGCTCTTAGTACCGCATTGACGACACTATGCGAGTATGATCGTGATGCCAAAAGGTGTCTATCCGATCATACCGAAGTCGAAGCCGTGAAGGAAGTCCTTGAGGCTGAGAGACAAAAGAATGCCGAGCTAGACGCCGCGATGCGAGCGTCTGCTGAAGACTTGGCAAAGCTTCATGAGCCGAGCGGTGAAGCAGATTACGAAGGAGAGGGCCGACACGGAAAAAAGGCTTGAGGCCGAGCGCAAAGCGGCTGAAGAAGCAAAATTCGCCTTCGGTCAAGAGGCGGCTAAGCGCGTAGCTGTTGCTGTAAACAATCACTATGCTGGTCTGGTGACGAAGGTGAAGGACTCGCTTTCCCGTAAGGGGAAAGCCGAAGACCTTATTTCAACCGCGGCTCAATGGGCTGGTGCGAAAAGGACCCTCGAAATCGTCCGTAGGCAGGGTTACTCTTTCCCGACTTCGATTGAGGAAAATGTGGAAAAGATGGTTGCGGATAGCAAGGCGCAGCAAGATGCATTCGAAGATGTTAGCTTCACATCCGATGAGCTTAAGGTTCCAGAGCCGGAGATTTTTCTCGAGGTTTCGAGTGGTGTTTCGTTAGAGGGAGCCGACGTGGAAGAGGACCCAGAAGCCAATAGAGACGGTATGGGTGCAAATAAGGAAGGCGAAGACGCCGAGCAGGGTGACGGTCATGAGACCGACAAGGAAGAGGGAGAAATTCAGGAAGAAAATGAAGATTAGCTTTTTCCCTCTTTTTTCTATAATCTGATGTGTACCTTGATGTATTGTTTTTTGCCGTTCTGGCTTCTATTTTAATGAAAGTTTTATTTAAAATTCTGAGCACAACGGCGATGTGATATCAGCTTAAGTTTATGCGATTTTAAATTTCTAAAGTATTGAACGAATAAGCGAATAAGATCGGCATATATTCCAAACTAAAAAATTTTCTTAAGTCAAATGCAAACTGCGACCAGGTCGGCTTACTAATTTCGCATGACTTAAGAATGACAGAGCGGATTCTGGCTTTGAAGATTGAAGTGTGAATACGAACGTGCAGAAGGCCCAGCTTACGATTGTTCGTACCACTTCTCATCTAAATGTGAATACTCGATGTGCGATTCAGGTCGGCGTCGATTCATCGGTACCACTTTGAAGTATCTGAGTCGAATGCGGATGCAAGGCTGACTTGGCTGACAAGAACGCATGGCTCGGATATATTGAAACAGGTGAGACTGTAAAATGCAAGACGGACTTGGCTTTTAAGTTGCCGAGCTAAAGTCAGACTAACTTTAGGCAGATCGAACATCTGGCCAGGATGCCAATAATGATAATGAACACAATAATTTATGAAAATTAGGATTTTATTGAATCAAAATGGACTTACAAACCGGAGACGACTTGAAAGCTAAAAGATAAATTGAGTCCCCCCCCCTCCCATTTTGGGAGGAGGAGCAGTTGCACCATCCGAGGATACGTTGCCTACGTACCCCTTTCGGGGATCAAACCGCTTCGTAGTTCATAGGGACTATTCCCCCTTTTTTTTTTACGATGCCGACCTCAAGGAGGTGCCGATCTAACTGTAGTATATTTTGAGGTTGAGTGAGTT